AATGTGGTTTTATAGGGGTGGGGGGGGTGTAATCTGATCCTGGCAGGAAGGATGTAAAGGTAATAGGTATCCACTTTAAAAAGGATGGCAAAGGGAGTTGAGCAGAAAACCCTAGATTTATTATAAAGTATAAAATTTTATTTTTCTTGAGAATTTCCATCTACTAACAAATCCTGTTCTGGATCTGGTAAAAAAGAAGGTTCACTTAAGAAATTATGTGTACCTCACAACCAGTAGGATGGCTGTTGTCAAAAAAACAAGATAACAAACATTGGTGAGGATGTAGAGAAATTGGAACCCTGTGCACTACTTGTAAGAATGTAAAATGGTGCAGTTGTTATGGAAAATATTTTTGTGATTCCTCAAAAAGTTAAAAATAGAACAACCAATATGGTCCAGCAATTCCACTTTCACGTATACACCCCAAAGAATTGAAAGCAGTCTTTAAAAGATATTTGCACACCTATATTCACAGCAGCATTATTCATAATAGCCGAAAGGTGGGGCAGCCCAGGTGTCCATCGATTGATGAATGGACAAACAGAATGTGGTATACATACATAATGGAATATTTTTCAGGCTATTTATTTAGTTATTTATTTATTTTTAAGCCTCACCCAAGGATATTTTTTATTTTAGAGAGAAAGGAAGGGCGAGAGAGAGAAACATTGTTGTGAGAGGTGAAACATCAGTTGCATCCTGTACGTGCCCTGACTGGGGATTGAACCCGCAACCTGGCTATGTGCCCTGAGCGGGAATTGAACCTTCAGCCTTTTGGTGTACTGGACAATGCTCCAGCCAGTTGAGCTGCCCGACCAGGGCTTTTTTGGGCTCATTTTATATTTTTATTTACTTATTTTTTTAAAACTGCATTATATTGATAATGCTAGTATAGTTGTCCCATGTTTTCTCCCATTTATTCGACTCTGCCCTGTATCTGCCCCCATCATTCCCTCACCTTAGTTCATCTCCATGGGTCGTACATAGAAGTTCTTTGGCTTCTCCATTTCCCTTACTATTCCTAATCTCCCCCTATCTATTTTGTGCTTACCATTTATGCTGTTTATTCCCTGTACCTTTTCCCCCATTCTCCCCACTCTGCCTCCCCACTGATAACCCTCCATGTGATCCCTATTTCTATGAATTTGTTCCTGTTCTAGTTGTTTGTTTAGTTCATTTTGTTTTTGTTTTTGTTTTTTTAAGTTCAGTTGTTGATAGTTGTGAGTTTGTTGTCATTTTACTGTTCATAGTTCAGATCTTTTTCTTAGATAAGTCCCTTTAACATTTCATATAATAAGGGCTTGGTGATGATGAACTCCTTTAACTTGACCTTATCTGGGAAGCACTTTATCTGCCCTTCCATTCTAAATGATAGCTTTGCTGGATAGAGTAATCCTGGATGTAGGTCCTTGGCCTTTCATGACTTCAAATATTTCTTTCCAGCCCCTTCTGGCCTGCAAGGTTTCTTTTGAGAATCAGTTGATAGTCTTATGGGCACTCCTTTGTAGGTAACTCTCTCCTTTTCTCTGACTGCTTTTAAGATTCTCTCCTCTTTAATCTTGGATAATGTGATTATGATGTGCCTTGGTGTGTGCTTCCTCGGGTCCAACTTCTTTGGGATTCTCTGAGCTTCCTGGACTTCCTGGAAGTCTATTTCCTTTGCTAGATTGGGGAAGTTCTCCTTCATTGTGTTTTCAAAGAAGTTTTCAATTTCTCACTCTTCCTCTTCTCCTTCTGTCACCCCTATGATTCAGATGTTGGAACGTTTAAAGTTGTCCCATAGGTTCCTAGTCGTGTCCTCATTTTTTTTGAATTCTTGTTTCTTCATCCTGTTCTGGTGGAATGTTTCTTTCTTCCTTCTGCTCTAAACCATTGATTTGAGTCCTGATTTCCTTTCTGTCCCTGTTGGTTCCCTATATATTTTCTTTTATTTCACTTTCTAAGCCTCCATTTGTTCCTCTGTTTTTTGACCATACTCAGCTATTTCTGTGAGTCTCCTGATTACCAGTGTTTTGAACTGTGCATCTCTGGCTATCTCTTTGTTGCTTAGTTGTATTTTTTCTGGACCTTTGATCTGTTCTTTCATTTGGGCCATATTTTTTTTGTCTCAGTGTGCCTGTTTTATAACAAGGGGCAGAGCCTTAGGTATTTGCCAGGGTGGGGTAACCCACGTGGTTTCGTTGTGTTGCTGTCTGTGGGGAAGGGATCTGAGGGAATAATGTGCTTGCTCTGGGCCAGCCTTCAGGCATTTCCCCTGCTACCCACAAGCAAGTTGGGCCCTTCTGGTGTTGATTCCTGGGTGGGTGGGTTTGTGTGTGTTCTAGAACCCTGTGGGTATCTCCAGTGAACTCTCCTGTGAGGCTGGGGGCTCCTTCTACCACCTCAAACCCCACAGATTTTTTTTCAGTCACAAGTTTTGGGGCTTTATTTTTTTCACACTGGAATTGGGTTGTGTAGTCTGTTTTGCTCCCCATTTGTTTTTCCCAATTTATCTGCACTCAAATGTGGGATCGCCGGGTCCACCAGCCGCCACCTTGCCACAAGTCCTCTCCACCCAGGCTGCCCGTCTCTGCCCCTCCTACTGGTCTGGATGAATGTTTTGTCTTTAACTCCGTGGTTGTTAGACTTCCATACAGTTCAATTTTCTGACAGGTCTGGTAATTTTTTCTTTTTAAATTTGTTATTGTCCTTTTGGTTGTGTGAGGAGGCAGTGTATCTACCTAGGCCTCCATCTTGGCTGGAAGGTCCAGGCTTTTTAAAAAGGAAGGAAATTCTGACACATGTGGATGTGGATGAGACTTGAGGACATTGTGCTAAGTGAAATAAGCCAGTCAGAACAGATCAAATCCTGTATAAGTCTTACTTATATGAGGTCCCTAGAAAAGTCAGATTTACAGAGACAGAAAAGAGGATGGTAGTTGCCAGGGGAAAGGGGAGAAGGAGTTAGTTTTAGAAGATGAGAAATTTCTGTGGATGATTGTTGGTGATGGTTACACAACATTGTAAATGTACTTAATGCCACTGAACTGTGCATTTAAAATTTACCATTTTAACCAATCTTAAGTATATTTTACCACAATTTTAAAAAGAAGTCATGTGGTATATTTTGTGCATGAGCTTCTGCTAATACTTGCTGTAATCACTCTTCAGAAAGTGGTAACCATTGCTCTGGGGTGCTGGGATGTCTGGTGGGCAGTGGAGCCAGTGGCATAAGACAGCATCCTGGCAAGGGGAGCCCTGCAGCCAGCAGTGGGGAGCTCGCTCCCCGCAGTACTCCAAGGCTGGGCCAGGGGCCAGCAGGGCCCCCAGGCTTCGGGGTAGGCAGCCAAGGAGGAGCACAAAAAGACAATGACCCCTCCCCGTCCCCCATCCTTAGAAACTTAAGTGTCTTTCTCCACTTGCTGGTTCTCTGGAATAAACATCAACGGATACTTTAATTTTATGCTTTGAAAATAACTTCCCTACACCTCCTGGTCTTTAAAATGTATTCCAGTAAGTACTGTGGACACATGAAGATCTCTCTAAGCTAAAAAGCTGGTATCATTAGTATCTACTACTGTGGGATCTGGGGTGTACCCAAGAACCACTGGGGTCTTTTTGTAAACCCTCCTAAATAGAGTTCATGGTACGTCACATCCCAGTTGTACGGCCCTACCTTATAACATCCGTCTTCTTGTGATTTTTAAGTTTTCTCTCTCTTTTTAAATGGCACTATATAATCCAGTGCAGATCTATTTTTGAACCCCTGTAAAAGCTTCATTCATTCCAATGACTCTTCCAAAGTGGCACGAAATGAATGTAGTGGAAAAGCAAGAATGTCCGATATTTGTTCCACGTGGACCAGGTATCGAGTCCTTGGTCTAGCCATTGTCACATTTTATCCCCGCAGGAGCCCTGACCCCACTTACAGATGCAGAATTTGTGGTCACAGAAGTTAAACAACTTCCCCCAAGGTCACCCACCTCCAAGCTGAGACTGGGCTTCATACCCTGGCCTTTTCCCACTGGAGGGGAACATTTACAGAAATGGGTCACATCGGTGGCCACAAAGGGAACCTTCACAAAATCAGAGTTGTAGAAGTTTTATAGGCCACAAGCTTTGACTATTACCCAATAAAATTTGAAAACAAATAAAAAGACCCTCTCCAAAATAACCCATGGAGCAGAGGCCACAGGGGCATTAGTGATTCGACCCAGTGCTGTTCAGCCACCCTCAGCAGGAGCAGCTGCGGGAGCATGGCATCTGCTCCGAAGACAGCAGCAGAGAGGCTTGCTCCCCACGCACCCAGTGTTTTGGAATTGGGAAACTTTTACCTTTCAATTAGTCTGGGCTTCCTTTGCCCCTCCTCTAATGAAATATTTTTAAAACAATAAAACCTTTCCCAGATATACTTGAAGAATTGGGAGTTACTGCTGTTTCTCCCTTAGTATTTTCACTTATCAGTTTATCAAAATGAAATTGAATCTCGGTTCTTATTTATCAGCATCTACCCCACCCTTGAAATTTCTCTAAGCTATGCCACAAAATTCTGCCCCCAAGGAATGCTACCAGGCAGTAGAGGGTAATAGATGAAGCCTGGGTCTAGGTTAAGACAGTTCTAGGGTTTTTGGGATCCTAGCTTTGTGGATTTGGATGAGTTGTGTTTCCCTTGCTCCCCCATTTATTAAATGTATCTGTAGGTAATTTCAGAGGTTTGCTGTGAACAGCTGATGTGCTAACTGAAAGCTTTTCTTAGACTCCGCCGATGAATAAATGCCAATCAGCCACAAAAGTAGGTAGTATAGAGCTTCATTGGGGCTTGCGCACCCGGGCAAGGTTTTTCGGTCCTCACGATGGGGCCAAGAAAGTCGCAAACAAACAGGGAATATGGCAGGGTTTTATTTCGGTTGGCTCTCTTCGGGGGGGCTGGGGATTGGTCCCCTCCGAACAAAACGGCAATATATCATTGGTGGTTCTCCTGGCACCCTGGTTTGACGTCAGCCATCTTTTCTGGGTTGCAGTTCAGCTGCCATCTTGTCCTACCCCGCCCATCCTGACACTAACATGTATGAGGCCGTTGCCGAGGGACCAGGTGAGTGTCAGTGTCCTGTCTGTAGCCGAGTGCCTGTTCAGTGCTCCGATGTCCACCGCGCTTGCACCTGTCCCTCTCTGTGGAGGAGGGCTGTGCTGAGCCGAGCACTATGCTTTATTTTCTCTTTTACTTATAGTATGTCTTTGTGCCTTGGGGAAGTAGTAAGACCTTGACTCTTGTCACAGCTTAATTAACTTCCTCAGAGTTGGAACAGCCACTAGATTTCATACTGTGTCCTACTTAAAGTTGAAGTGTGTTAGCTGTGATTAGTGACACTGCTTGTGAAAAGCTACCAGCTGACCTTTCTGTCCCCCAAAGCATACACAGGTTCTTGCCAACTTCTGTCAGATTTGTCTGCATCTGGCAAGTCCTTGATCTACGACACAACTTGAAACTTTAATACAGAATTTATAGGGTATTTTAGTTGCTTCTGAGAATGCTTCTTTGAGGTCTCCTGAAGTATTTGCAGATATACATCAAGAGAGGAAAACATTGTATTGTAATAAATGAGGGAAAGCATAGACAGTGTTCCCTTTTGGGACTGGCTTTGGCATAATTACTCACTGCATTAGTTTCCTGCTGCTGCTGAAGCAACTTGCCCAGCACTGAGTGTCTCTGAGGAGGTGCTCCTACGCCTAGGGCTTGAATCACAAGGAGCAGACACGTGGCCTGTCTTGCTCACCAAGGAACCCTGGTGCCTTGGAAGACTGCCTACTGTGTATGGTCAGTGCTTAGTAAATCCTGACTGAAGGGGAAGGGGTCACTAGAACACAGCCACCACCACCCCCATATGTATAAAGGGTGCTGTAGTGTACAGTGGGTTTTAAGTGTGGTTCCCATCCTTGTGTCCCTTCTGTATGGGCAGTGTGCTCAGAGCTTTCCTCATAAGCTCCTCAGTGAGGTGCTGTTAACACCCTCTGTTACAGAGGAGGCCGCTAGGCTAAGGCGCAGCAGGACTCCAGCCTTGTCTGTAAGAACTACCCCCAGCCTCTCACGTACCATGTTATTGTGCTCCTGCTAAGTACCTTATGTGGCTAGGCAGTGATGCTCTCCCCCATTTTCTAGAATAAGCTGGAGTCTGAAGTGGACACACAAATGATTCAGCTAAGCTTAGAATCCCAGATTCTTGACTCATATCCTCTGTTTGCCATTATAACCAAATAGTTCAGCTTGATTCCCAAGACCTCTTTGGAAATATCTGTGACCGTTTTTAGATGTTGTAGGAACACAGGCTATTATGAGCAGTATGTAACTCAGCCATAACCTAGCGAGATGTAGTTAACAGGATTGTTTCTCTAGAAAGACAATAAGGTCCTTAGAGACATTTCCCAAGGTGTCAGGATGAAATCTGCACTATTGCCCAACAGGCAATACCCTTCAGAATGGGCCTGCAGTCACCTTTCCCACCCCTCTTGGCAAAGAGAAAGAGCAAATGTTGGCAGGAGTGCAGGGCGATGGTGTGGGGCGAGGGGAGGGCACATTACCTCTCATTGAAATAGCTTTTAAAAAGAAACATCCAGAAACATATATGCTGTTTACTTTTTATTTTAAATTTCTCTCTGGAGCCACATATTCTTAATTCTTTTGCTTAGTAATGTGTTCTTCCTACCCCTGGTTCTGGCTTACACCTTTTTGGCCTGAGTGTCCTCCGATGACTGTTAGTTTTCAAGACTGAAATCAGTTTCCTTTTTTGGTTCCCTTCCCCACAACTGTCCTTTGTCACAGCTCCCTGCCAGTGACCTGGCAGCGGTCCAGCATCACCTCTTCCCATCACTCCTATGTTTGCTCCCTTCCCATATGGGCACTCTTCTTTCCCACCTCTTTGGGATCTCTGAGGGCAGTGCTCTGGCATTTTACAGCAGGAGCCAGGAGGGCAGTCATCCATGGCCACAACTCTGCTCCTGAAAAAGCTGACTGTGTTTCTGGTTGGCTTCAGGTGGATGTGCTTCCAAATCAGTCTCCTGCTCAGAGCTCCTTTGATGAAGGTTTTAGGGGAATACAGGATCAGGTATTAGTTGAGGTTCATGAGCAGAAGCGTTTGTAGATTGGTTGACCTATGTATGTGTGATTACTATGTGGCCAGTGGGATTGCTGTTGATGGCTGACATTCAGAAACTCTGGAGTGAGACGGTTTTTATTTAGTGGATTTCACTGGGGTGAGGTAGTTGTTGATTGCTAGCCTTCTGTAGTGCTGGGGTAAAGCATTTGTTGATTGGCCAACTTCTCTGAACAAGAGGTTGTTGATTGACTGGCCCCCTGAAGCTTTCAATTGATGGGCAGCTGTCATAAATCCATTAGAATAGGTTTAAAACCATTGCTATGGCTAAGTAGCAGCCAGGCCTTTCCTAGGTACATAGGAACTCTATATTTTCACCTGTCCTAGAATCATAGATTTCCTGGGTTGGAATATGTCCATCAAAACACAGACCACACATTAGACCCTCACCTAACCACCCACCCCCAGAGTGAGCACATAAGCACAGATTTGGGAGTCAACAGACCTGAGCTAATATACTGATTCTGTCATTTAACAAGTCACTGAGTCTCTGTCATCCTCAGTCTCCTAAAGGGTAACACTTCCCTCCCTGAAAGGGGGTGTTGTGTTGATTAAATGAGTTCATGTGTGTCAAGTGCCCACCATACACTCATCATTTACTTTCCTAAACTGAACATTTGAGTTTTCATTACAGACTGCAAGTCTAGTGACCAGGAATGCAGCCTGCGGAGACCATTTGGTGACTCAGGTCCTTCTTACTTGGTTTTTCCCTTCTAAGGTCTGTCAGAGTCACAGGCTGTGAAAATCTGAAGCTCAGGCCCCATTCCCAGAGAATCTGATATACCTATATTTTTTTGTACTATAAGACTCGCGCCCCCGCCTGCCCCCCCTGCCCCCACCCCTGCATTTGGGAGGAATACTGGTTGCTAATGTTGCTGTTGAGTTCTGTTTACATTTACATTGGTGAAATATTATGTTATTTATGTTATTACATATTTTACCACATTTTTTGCTTCAAAATTTTTTCCCCTATTTTCCCCTCTAAAACCTAGGTGCGTCTTATGGTCCGAAAAAATAAGGTAGTTGATGGGAAAGCCCAGACACTGGTATTTTTTAAGTTCCCATGGGATGTTCAGTATGCATTGAAATACACCATGCCTGGGAAGCTCCTTACCTAAAGTCATGCAGAAAATTAATAAATTGCTTTGATTGGTCTTAAGTGATGTGCTGTCCTTTTTAGAAACTCTTTTGAAAATTGTAGAACTCAGAAACAAACTGGGCATTCTAATGGGGTATTCTTTGAGTCCCATTCCTATTACTGTTCTCATTATTATTTTTTTTTTAAAGAAAAAAACTACCTTTATGACTTTCAAAATCTAACTTTACAGGAAGGCAGGTCAGGATAGAGAGGCATGTGGTATGGACTGACATTTTCTGAAAGTAGATTACAAACTTGTCTACTTTTAGGAGATGAGCTTCGTGTGAACTCTATCCTTTTGGTTGTTGTATGCATTATACATAAACTTTATTCAACATTGCCACCTTCCCCAAAGGTTTGTTATCTCTAAATTTTGAACTTACTTTATAAAAGAGAAGAACATGCATTATTTATAAACTTCCTCAGCATCTAGCAGAAAAGTGTCATGGTATTTACGCCTCCATGGCAGCAGTGTGCATTGCATAGGTTGCCTCTGTAATCCTGAAGTCATCCCTGTGAAATAATGAGAACTCCTTTGTGTCAGAGAGGAAGGGGTTTTATAGTCAGTGGTCTTTCCATTATACCTTTCTTTCTAGTTTTGAAGAAGCTTCTAGTCAATTGAAGAACTAAATATTGAATTTTCTCGGTGAAAAAATACTGGCCCATATTTTACCCAAGAAGTGTGGAGCTGCTGAAATACTTGACAATTATATTCATATTAGTCATTCAGGTATACCTTCCCTAGATATATAACATGCTATATTTATCTGTTGATGTTAATAAAAATGTTTTAATCCTCACCTGAGGATATGTTTATTGATTTTATAGAGAGAGGAAGGGAGGAGGGAAAAAGACAGACAGAGACAGAGACGGAGACGGATACTAATGTGAGAAACATCGATCGATTGCCCCCTGTATGTACCCCAACCAGGAATAGAACCTACATCTTTTGGTGTACAGAAGGACACTCCAACCAACTGAGCCACTTGGCCAGGGCTGCTAACTTTTTATTTTAGAATAATTGTATTATTACAGTTTCACCTTAGTGTTGTACATTTTATGGATCTTGACAAATGTATGATGACATGTATCCACTATTAAAATACCATGCTGAGTATTTTCACTGCCCCCAAAATCCATGTACTCTGCCTATTCATCCTTCCCCCCACACACACACCCTTGGAAACCAGAGGTTTTTCAATGTCTTCATAGTTTTGCCTTTTCAAAAATATCTGTAGTTGGAATTGTTAAAGAGAAAATTAGTCATGGCACTTATTAAATAACCCTGGGGCAGATTGTTCAGTGCACTGGTACATGGGAGTTTGGCAGTAGAGGAGAGAGATTGGGCTCAACTCCAAACACAAATAGGAAAAGTGGAAGTTTACAGCCAAGGAGCAGGTGGGGGGTAGATGAATGGAAAATTCCTAACAGGAAACATTAAAGGGGGTATTCTGGCTAAATTGTCGTAACAGTATTCTTCCTAAAGGCAGATCATGGTGGTCAGGCTTCACCTGGGTTAGGGTGGAAGATTCTGGCTAAACCAACTTGGCATGATTCTTGTTAAAATTGAGCAGTGCAGAGTTGGAAATGGAAGTACAAAAGTCAAGGCCTAGTTTAGGAAGAGGATTCAGAGTGGCCTGACTAACCTTTATTCAAAGACAGAGTCTTTGTGAGAATCAGATTGATTTCCTTCACTTAGTAATATACATTGAAGGTTTCCCCATATGTTTTCATGGCCTGATAGTTTTTTTTTATTACTTTGTAATATTCCATTATCTGCATGTACCACAGTTTATTTATCCATTCTGCTGAAAGACACCTTGATTGCTTCCAAATTTTGGCAATTATGAATAAAGCTGCTATAAACATCTGTGTATAGATTTCAAGAATAATTTTATATTTATAGAAAGGTCACAAAGGTAGTACAAAACATTCCTGTATACCCTTCACTCAGTTTCCCCTAGTATTAACATTTTATATAACCCTGGCACATTTGATAAAACCAAGAGATTAACATTGGTACATCACCATTAAGTAGACTTTACTTGGATTTCACTAGTGTTTAGTTCATTCCCCTTCTCTGTTTTAGGATACAGTACAGGATACCACACTGTATTAATACCACATTTATTTTCATTTTATAGGAAAAATCTAGGTGTTTTCTTAATTATTAAATATGTTCATAAAATTCAACACATACTATGAAAGTGGATGTAAACATATAAGCTATAAGGATCTGGTGTTGCTTAATTAGGTGAAAACATTTATTTGTGATATTGTTGCTTAGAATTTTTTGAAAGTTTATTTTTGTCTTTGGTGGAGCATGCAGAATTCCCAGTATACAGAATTAAGATTTGTTTACTTCTAAACAAAATACTAAAGCTCATTGAAAGAAGGTCATGTTAAGATTGAGTATTTCAAGATGCAGGAGAAAACTGGCTGCCAAGTTGTAATGAAAGCTGTCAATTGCGTAATTTTTCAAGTTGATGCAAAGGATGAAGTGTTTGGTGGTTCACTAATGAGCATCTCCACATGTTTTGCTGGCAGAAGGACTCCATGAAAGATGACAGAAGAAGTCATTGTTATAGCAAAGTGGGACTATACTGCCCAACAGGACCAGGAGCTTGACATCAAGAAGAACGAGCGTCTCTGGCTGCTGGATGATTCTAAGACGTGGTGGCGGGTGCGGAACACTGCCAACAGGACGGGCTATGTGCCGTCCAACTACGTGGAGAGGAAGAACAGCCTGAAGAAGGGCTCCCTGGTGAAGAACCTGAAGGACACCCTAGGTGAGTGTTGGCAGCATTAGGACCCAGGTTAGAGCTGAGCTACTTCCCATTAAGGAGAGTGAGGAAGCCTGGTTGGCTGTTCTTGAGGAGCGAGTGTTCATCTTTTGAGTTTATGTTTTGTGTGCATGTGTTTTTTAAGGTTCTATTTTAAATACTGACATTTTTCTAGTTGCCTTGTTTTTTAATCTCCGAAAATTAAGACACCAAGATGGAGAAATGTCACGTTTGTCATTTTCTGGAGATTCTCGAGTTTGGAATCTTATGTAAGTTGACACTGCCATGTGTCTTGGGCCCCTGCACATGTTTCTCTCTCCTGACACCAACATTCTAGAGGATCCTGAAATGGAATTACCACCTCCAAAAATATCAACAGCTCTGCCTATGTCTTTCCATCAACTCTTTTCTCTCTTACAAAATCCTGTCCCTTTGGCCTTTATGCATACAGAAGGAGATAGTAAGAAGCTCTTTGAACCCAGGGAATTTCATACCAACAGTCCTGTATAGTGTCAGCTACATTGGCAACGGGGTGAGCACCAGTGTGATGCCTGAGGCCATCTAGGGTCACTCAGGTGGGGACTGCTGGGTGCTCAGCTCTGTTGGCTCATGTCCAGTTTTCCTCCCACATGCCTTTCTCTTCTCTACTTTTGGGAGATGGGAAGGACCACCTCGAATCACCTGAAGTTAGTGGTGGCCAACCTTCCCTTTGTATTTTGTATGCATATCAGACTGACTTGCAGTAGTTGCTTCAGATTATGTGAGAAAATAATTTTGAGGGCCTTTCTGACCTGCCATTTAAAAAAATTATTGTTGCCCCCTTATGTATCATGGTGTTGTATATGAGATGGCGGGTTATCACTTAAGAGTTTGCTATTGCATATTAATATTGAAGTCAGTATTATCACCCATGTTATATTTACTTGAGTTTTTTCCTCTTTGTTTCTAACAAGAGAATTTTTTTTTCATTTGAAAAGAAAGTGACAGGTGGAAAAACAAAAGAAAATTATACACTGAATGTAGTAGATGTTGCAAAATATTTGTCTTTCATCTCATACAGTCTTGAAAAGTCTACTAACTCTTCAAAAGCATTTAAAGTCTTCATTAACTGGGCAGTGTTTTTGTGTTATGGATTAGGTTATACCCATGATTTGGAGAGATAAATGAAACCCAGGCCTTTGTATGAGCCACACCTACTGACCTGCTATTAGAGATTCTGAGCCTGATGTAGAAATTTCGTTTTTCACGAATAGTCTGATTCTCTTTCTAGTAAACTGACATATTTGTTTTCCAAGCAGGTCACTGGAAAGAAATATTGTTGTCCTATGCTTATAACTCTTAATGAACTGTGGTAAAGAAATAAGGTAGCAAGAATAGGCAAATACTTTGAGTGCCTGAGAATAATTTTATGTATGTTTTCCAATTTCATCTTTTCACCCACAAAGTGCCTTTTTTTTAGCTACTAAACAGTGTTGACTAGTCTTGTCTTCTATTCATTGTAAAAAATATATATTCTCAAGATTCTCATAAAAAATGAAATGTCCAGAAACTGAATGAGTGAAACATTGGGAAGTAAAATAAGGCAAAGCAAGCACTCTGATTTAATCTAGAAACTTTCTTGAATACCTTGTCTTTTTTTAACTTCAGTGTTTAGAAGGAAAGGAGACAAAGCCTCAAATTAAAACTGTTAACCACATCTTTCACCCAGTGTTTAGTTTTCCCAGCAGCTGTGATCAGAGTGGTGACCAGGTCAATGTGCTTGTGTGCTGAGGGCTCTCAGAACAGAGGAGGCTGGCTCACCAGTCTTCGTGCTGGGCGCTGGGCCCCCGCCCCGCCCCTGACAGATGGCCACCCCGCTCTGCTGGAACACTTCAACTTCTAAGTCAGCCAGTTCCATTTTTGGAGAACACAGATTGTTAGAAAGCTCTTCCTTAAATAGAATCAGAGTTTGCTTTTCTTTGCTTTCTCCCCTTGACTCTCACATGCCCTGGAGAGTGACCAGCTCTCCTCCAGGCTCAGTCCCCACTCAGGCACACACTGCCTTGGAAATGTTTGTACTGAGCACTGTACAAATAAAAATACATGTATAATCATATTTTGAATATCCATATCTGTTAGTAGCTGTTGATAGTCATATTCTGAAAGTCAATGTTTCCATCACCACATACTAGTGCCCCCTTTGTTGTATGTGTTTTTGTTTCAGTGTATCTATCATGCTCCCCCAAAGCCCTGCTTTGGTTGGACAGAGAGAGACCTTGTTACTCAGCATGAGTTTTCATTGTCCTCTTGAGCAATATCAAAGGGAGGGGAGGCCCCCTGACAAGAATCACCAAGGCTGAGAGGCTTCTTAGTCTCTACAGCCAGACTTGACAGGACATCGTTATCAAGAAAGAAAGTGAGAAGACTTTCTGCAGCTCCCCTGCCTCCCAGAGTTCTCCATTGCTAAAAAAAGATTGGTGCTAAAGTGGTCATGGCTTCCTGTTTATATTGCTGTCACCAGTGTGCTGTCAGAATTGTAGTATGTTTTAGATTGATTACCCAATCAGAATTTATCTCTGCTATGCATTAGAAGGAGTGAAAACAGCATCAAAAATTACACTGCACATGTTGAGCTTCTAGTAGCTACTCACAGTATCATCCACACCTGTAATTTGTACTGCCGGGGAAATCTACCTTGATTCCTAAACCCATGATAAAATTCCTTGGCAAATGCCTGGTTTGGAAAAATAGCACCAGACTCCTCAGCAAAGTCACAGTGTTATAAATGTGTGTATATGTCTAATTGCAGGTAACTATAACTCTATCAAGTTCTCTCCTCTGTTCTTATACTTATCTGGTATGTTGATACTGGGGGTACATTAATTTAATCACATCTAATGCTTGGTTAGAGTGACTTTGAGAAAGCAATGCCATTCATGAAAAAAAAAAATCTCTCAGGGAAGAACGACCATTCCTTCTTTTCCTTTAATAATTTATCATTGGATAAAATAATATGAGCTTTTAATTGCTCTTGGGCAAAACATTTATATCTCCTCTCATATTCATCTTATGATCATGAATAGTCAAAGAGAACTTTGCCACAGATTACAAGGAGCAGTGAGTGGTGAAGAACCACGCTGCCAGTAGCACCCCGTTAGTATTTTGAAGGGCTCCGACTATGGAGCTCTCCTGCCCAGCTGGGCAGCGTTCTTGGGCTATAGTCTGGCCTGGATATGGTGACCTGAGTTATGAAATCACTGGGGTTAGGTGTTGTAAAGTGATGTGCTAAACATTTAGATGTGAGGAAGCTGCTCCCAGGGAGGTATTTTTTCAAGATTTTCCTTTGGGCTACTGAAGAACAGTGTTGTTACCACTTCCTAACAGCAGAAAACCCACCAAAACTCCAAAGGTTGACTCTTCTCATTGGCTAAGTCCAGGTGTTGACTTGGGTTACATAAAATGATGCAGTTCCATCTCTAACCTCTGATCCAAGGCACATATGCCCATTGTTAACCCGCTTCCTTAGGCGTCTGGGCCCAAAAGTGAACTGCCACAAGGTTTGCTCCTTGAGCATTTGTCCCTAAGTGACCATACATACCTAAGGCCAATTAGAAACCTGGCAGTGATTAGGACTCCCACCTCTGTGATTCTAAGCCAGACACAGGAGCAGAGTAGAGCTGCCAAAAGGGACTCCCAGTGCTGTGTGTTAAATAGCCCTTGCACTGGTTTGAGTAATGATTTTTTACAAGGAGGGGTAGTTCCTGTGGGTGAAATTCACAAGGTTCTTGAAGGCATATCCATGCTAAGATCGGCTTTGGAGTGGCTAAGTGACTTCTCCGAGAATGCACTTCTAGTCAGAGGTATGCAACAGAGATGGCACTTCAACTCAAACTTGAATTTCTTCTACTATAGCAAGTTGAATATCTGGATTTAGTGGTTGGGCATTTGCTAGGACTCTGTGGCAGAGACAAGTACTTAGAACATTAGGAGAAATTTTAGTGACAACCAGTTCTTATTTTAGAGCTGAAAAGCTTATTAGCAAAACTTGAGTAGGTCCTAGAATTAAACGGTAATAATGCATCGATGTTTATTGCCTGATATTGGTAGTTGTATTGTGGTTCTGAAGGATGATGTTGTTTGTGGAAAAACACACAAAGTATTCAAGTGATAGGACATCATGTTGGTAGCTTGCTCTCAAGTGGCTCAGGGAAAATAACGTTCTTGAAGCTGTTCTGTACACTAAAACAAATGGACAGATACAAGAGTGGTTTGGAGACCACCCCAGGGTATAAAGTTGGCTTGGAGCAGAGGAAGCGTAACTTGGCAATGTCAGAGTGCCTTGCCTTTGGCATAAGGCTTTCAGAGATGAGCGGGTACCACTGAACCTGCTGAGATCGGACCTGAAACAAGAGATTAACACCAGGATAAACATGTCCAAGTGATCCTTCACCAACGTGGTTTCCCCCAGTATACTTGATCCAGAACTCCCTGTAACCAGCAGGTTCTCTCCATATCACCAGCTTCTGTGTAAGGAAATACCTGCTTCTTGCTGGATCAGCCCAGTCAGTTCTGAGTCAATTCAATATATGCTTTTCTGTTATAACAGATAGGGAGAGAGTGGTGGTCAGAAACAATCTCCTGGGCTCACAGCCTCCGTGGTAGCACAGGATGTAGGGGAATTTTCATATAGACACTGCGGCACTATGAGTCTTTGCTGTGATTACAGATGTCCTACGCAGGTCTGAACCTGGGCATGTGATTCGTTGTGAATGAAATGTGGGTAATGAGTGGCACAGCCTGTGACTGTAGGAGCCACGTCTGGATTTCCTTTGTCCCTTCCTCACTCTTGTCCCTTTCTTGGAAATCTCTTCTAAGCCACTTCATTCCCTGCTGAGTGAGCTTTGAAAGTAACCAATGACGTTGAAATAGGGATGCAGACATCATGTGCAGATCAGCACTTTGTAACAGGGCATGTTCAGATCAGAAGAGGGAGCTGGCCAGACATCACTTCCTCTGGCAGGGTATAC